GCCGAAATGCAGTCAACCCCTGTCGAGATAGCCAAATCTTCGTGCGCGGAACTGAAAAAGCGGTTTGACAGTGACTGTTGTCAGATGCAGGGGGTCAGAAGCGCGATGGGCATCATGACATCAAGATATGGGGGCACATGTGAATTCGCGAAGGGCGGCAAGGGCGAGATGGGACGCACCATCAGACTCCGCCCAGTACTTCGCGGATTCATGGACGTCAACACCGTCGACGTGGGGGCCTTGCAGGTGCAGCCAGGCGGGCGGGTCACAGACTGCTCGCACGCGCGGCCGCGTGCGAGAAGTCTTGGATTATCGCGTCCATGGGTGTCGATGAGGCTTTCTTGGGGGTCCTGGCGTGTCGCGAAGTAGCTGGGGCCGCTGGGGCGACGGAGCGCATGGTTTGTTGCGCTCCCGCCTGGCCCTGCATCGGTGCTGCGTGCGCTGCCGGGCTTTGGTTCGCGCGGCGAATCGAGGCACTGTTTGCAATGCTTAAAGCCAGGCGCTGGCGCCAAGGGCGCCCGAGGGCGTTTTCGCTGCAACTCAGGGCCATCGCGACGTCTTCGTCGTCGCCCGCCCCGATCTTCTCAGCGCCGGATTATTGCGACTGCGACCGGAGATGGCAGGGCTCACGGGCCGCGCGCGAGACTCGGCGAGGCCGGCGGGCTCGCGACTGCGTCGCCGCCCCGCGCGGCGGCCGCGGGGGAGGCGGCGCCGGCCGCGGCGGCTCCTGGAGTTGCAGCCGCGCCGGCAGCGCCAGTGGCCTCAGCATCTTCCACGGTGCCACCGCAATCAACGCAAGATCGGTGGGCGCGAGTGGGCGCTGCGTTCCCCGTTGGGACAAGCGGTGGGGCGCGACTGGGTGGGCGACCTCAACGCGCGAGACGACGTGCCTGCTGACGTGCAATTGCTGAGCTGGGCGTCCATGCCCGCCGTTGAGGAGGCCCAGGCCGACAATTTTCCCCCAAGTGTAAGTCGGACAGAAACGCGGCCGAAATCCAGCTGGCCACACCCGTGTTCTCGCACATTTTTGCAAGTGGCTTTTTTTCTCCCCTTGCGGCTGGATTTTTGGGATGCGCGGTTAGCGTGGCTATGGCGCGGCAGTCTCTCGCGAGTGCTTGTGTCAGGCTGGCGCAGCCAGCGATGTCGTCGTAGCGAACAGCGCCGAATCGTTGCGATTGCGTCCGCTTTGGGGCCGTTCGCGCGCGCTTCGTCATTCGATTTTTTTTTGAGCTTTCTCTGGTGCGTCTCGCGCGCGGCGGCCCTGGCGCCGACGCTGCCATTCGCCGTGATGAACATGCGGCGGCCCAAAAACGTTGCATATCGCTGTTGCGGAGGTCCGCATCGAACCAAAAACGTCCATTCAAGTATGTTTTGATTTGCTTCCATTATCACTGTCGCATTCGGTGTCGCCAACAGTTCCCTCTTCTTCTTCGCGTTACTGGTGTGTCTTCCCAGGCCTGCGCAGGCCCAGCCCCTTATCCTCTCCCCCCTGCCCTTGTCTTCCTTACTTTTTTCCTTTCTCAATCCTCGTCGGTGGTCCCTCATCCTTTCCTCTTCCTGGCTCGCGTTGTCTTCCCTCTAGCCTCCCTCATCCGTCCTCCTTCCACCTCTGTCCTCCTCCGTATTTCCCACGTCGCCTTCCCGCTTTCCTTTCGCGCCCTTTTTGCCGTTCCTCCTGCCGCTCGCTCCGGGCGGTCTGCCGCCCCCCTCCTGCAGCCATGCCCCCCCGTCGCGTTCTTCCTGTTTCCCATCGCGTCCCTCCTTCCTGCGAGGTCCCATGAAGCCATGTTGGGGCCCCCGGGGAGAGGGCCCGCGGCCGGGGCGCGGTTTGGCGGCGGCTGGGCGGCGGCGGGGCCGCGGCGGGGATTCGGGTGGGATTTTGCTGGCGGTGGCTTCTTTTGAGGGGTGGCAGCTTTTCGGAGGGGGCGGCGGCTGGGTGGCGGCTGGGCCGCGGCTAGGCGGCGGCGGGGCCGCGGCGGGGCCGCGGCGGGGATTTGGCTGGGATATTGCCCGGCGGCGGCCGGGATTTGGTTGGGATTGTTGCCGGGCGGGGGGCCCGCTGGCCTTGTGGCGTGTCCGCAGCGAAGTTGTGGATCGCTTGGTCATGGCGCCCTCGGCTTACTGCCCGGCGCCCTCGTGTCGTGGCGGGCTGCGTATTCGGCGTATTTTTCATTGTAACTTCGCCTATGGTTGACGCTTGTGCTGCAGCTTCGCAGTCATTCTGCGCTGGCTGCATCGTCGTTTCGACGCATTCTGTTTGCTTCGCAGTCGCGCGGCGCAGTGCGGCGGTATTCTTGTTGCGACGCGCCCCTGTTCTGCCTCGCAGTCGCGCTGCGTTGCGTGGCGGCGGTTTCGCGTTGTCGCGCGCGTGTGCGTTTTCTGCGTTGCAATCGCGCCGCGCTGCGTGGCGATATTTTTGTTTCGACGCGCGGGCCCGTCTTCTTCCACGGCCGTGCGCGTGCCTGCGGCTATTGTATCGCAGTGGCAACGCCTTCGTCTGTTGCGCCCAGGGGGTGCGTTGCCTCCCCCTGCGTCCGACGCGGCCGGCTTTCACTCGCCGCGGTCGCCCGGGTGCGCGGCGCAGCGTAGCGCCGCATCTTTTTTTCGCTTTGCCGTGCCGCGGCGGGCGGCGAAGCGCTTCGCCCCCGCCCTTCTGCCCAGGTCGCTCGCGGCGCGGCATTCAGCGCCGCGCGGCAAGCTGCGCCCTGCAAGCGCGAATTCTTGAGTTGGGCACTGTCCAAGTCCGCGCGGCTGTGCTCCTCCGCCGCCCCCCATTCCCCCCCTCCAACCGCCCCCCCCTCGTCCCCGCTCCTTGTCCATTCCTCCAGCTTCCTCGACGCTTCGCCGCCGCTGCGCCGCTGCCCTTCTCCGCGAGGCTGCTGTCTTCGGGGTCCTCTCTCGCTTTGGCGGGGCTGTCCCGCGGCGGGGCTGCGGCGGCGCGAGCGCCGTGCCACTCCCGGCATCTGTGTTGGGGGGGGGGTCCTTTCGACGCGCGCTCGCCTGGGCCTCCTCGCCCGCCGTTTCCGCCCCTGGCGTCGGCGCCCCGCGTGGATCGAGCTCCGCGTGGCAGCCGCAAACCGCGCGAGTAGTCGCGTCGACGCCTGTGCCCGAGCCTCCCCAGGAGCTGGCTCTGATCAAACAGAACAGCCGCGTCGACGTGGGCCAACCGTCAGGGGGGGTGGCCATGCGGTTCGCCGGCCGCGATACCTGGGCGGCCAGCGGCGGCCAGTCCGAGCGCGACGTGGGCGCCGCCATCGACCGCGCGCAGCGACGGCGCCTCGACGAGCTCCACAGCGCGCAGCCTTGCGGCAGCAGGACTGGCAGCGACGTCAGGCGATGATAGCGGGTGTCCTGTCTGCCTCGAGGCCTTCCTGCGCGGCGAGATGGTGGTGCGCCTGCGTTGCCGCCTCATCTTGCACCGCGCGTGCCATCTGCAGCTGATGCAGGACACAGACGCCCGCTTTGCGCGCGGTCCAGCGTCGACGTCGTCGCCGACTTCCGCTTCGCTGGTGCAGATCGTGCGCGGGCGGGTCCGTTGCTCGCGGCGCCACCCCTCGCGGCGGAAGATGGGGGCGTGCCCAGTGGGGCCCCGCCGCAGCAAGAGCAAGCACAGGCTTCTCGACCGGTCCCTGGCCTGGGGGCGCCTCGGCCAGATCTCGTGCCGGTGCCGGGCAGCGCGCCCAGCTTCGCGTCCGCAGTGGACGCGGCGGTGCCTTGTAGTCACGGAGTGACAGAGATTAGTGTTTTCAAGAAAACAGTAAAATACAATTTAATAGCTCGAAAATAGCTTTCTGGTAGGTTTTGTAAAATAGGTTTTAATTTTCAAGTAGGAGCCTTGCGTTGGTTCTGGTTTCTCGGTGTAGTTCACATAGGGGGCCGTTCTCGGCTCAGTAAGCCCCAGAGTCGGGCCATTGTATTCGAATTGGGGGCTGCCGATGTGCAGCAGCATGGGGGCTTCGGGAACAATGCAATGGTGTCTATGCCCCCCCTCATTCCTTGGTTCTGGGATATCTATTCGGGGGCGTCGTGGCGCGAAACCCGTTGTAATTTGGACAGCACTGTTTGGGGGGCGATTCCCTGGGCCCCCCCGCTCATCATGACCATAATCCCTCCTTTGGGGTTCATGGAGGCCCACAACTGCCTCTTGGTTCCCGCCCGTAGGGCCCTTGCCCCCCGCGGGTCCCTTGGTGCCCATAAGCCCGCTGGCCCCCATCTGTCCCTCGGGCGCTATTCGCCAGCTTTGGAAAGTCCCCGTTGGGGAATGGCGCAGTTGCTTTCCAACTCATCTAATTGTTACTGGTTGCGAGCGTTTGTGACTGAAGATTTGTTGGAAGCATGTTTGCGCCCCTATGTGGTGGGTGCAATTTATGTGGTGCAATATGTGGTGCGACCTACGTGGTGCAATCTATGTGGGAGCTGTCTCGGGGGGGGCGTCTAGGGGGGGCCGTCTAGGGGGGGGGTCTGGGGGGGGCCGTCTGGGGGGGGCCGTTTAGGGGGAGCCGTCTAGGGGGGGCCGTCTATGGAGATTGCGTGCATGTGGACGTCTCAAATGACTTAGGGAACCGTCTTGGGGGGGCCTTCTGGGGGGGGGGGCGTCTAGGTGGAGCCGTTTAGGGGGGGCCGCCTAGGGGGGGCCATCTTGGGTGAGCAACCACACTTGTGCCGTGCACGTTGACTTCTCAATTGAGTATTTGTGCCCTTGGTCTCGACATATGACATATGGTCTCATTTGGCGGGTGACATCGCGTGGACGTCTCAATTGAACATTCTTGCCTTTCGTTCGACAGATGTTCTCACGTGGTGCAGTGTTGCCGTTTTGGCTCAAAACGTTATCTAGGCCTCCTCCTGTTTCGTCATGGCACATTTTGTGGAATGCAATCGCTTGACGATCTGATTTGTGGTATTCGAGCTGCAGATGTTGGCGCAAGCAGCTTGGATGCTGAGATTGCCAGTTATGTGTTCTGGAGCGGCCGCTGGCAGCTTAGACGCTGCGCTGGCAGATGCGCTCGGGGGCTCGGAGGCTGGCGGGGCGGATGGCGACCCTCAGGGGGCCGATCTTGATCAAGCAATGGCGGTGGTGCCCGTCGCAGTTGATGACGGAGCTCTGTTGGCCCCTCCGTCGCAGCTCGACCTCGCCGTGGGCTTGCCTTCCACCTCTGATCTGGGCGCCGTGGTGGCAGAGGCGTTGCAAAGTCTCATGGGTCAGAACGTCGAGCTCGGATATGGTCTTGTGAAGATGGGCTCTGTTTTAACTTCTGGCTGGTCTTGACCAAGTTGCTGGTGCCATTGCTGGCAGTTTCTGTGAGCTCATTGACAAGCATATGTGCGCCAAGGCGCCGAGGCCGTTGACATATCTTTCAGATGACCTTGCAATGCGCCATGATGTCGCGATGAATCGCGTTTCGTTTCGTGCGACTTGCGTGGGCCACATTGCGCGGCAGCGCGCTATTCATGCCATCAAAACCGTTGCCTCAGCTACGAATGCCTCTGGCGGCAGGTGTTTGCGCTTGTCGGTTCGCGCGTCCACGGGCGAGACGCCGATGTACCACAGAGTGACTCATGAGACGACAATCGACGATCCTGTCATCCGAGCGGCCAGAGGAATAAGAATAATAATAAGAAGAAAAGAAAAAAAAACATCAGCGAACCCGTCATGGATAACATCGTTGAGGACGACGTTGAGCCAAAAGGGAATATCGTTGCATATGAGCTGAAACTTGGCGCGGTTTTTGGGATGCCGATTTATTTCAGAGGCCCTGGGAATGGGCCAGGTGTGCGTCGCTTTCTTCATCTGCAAACTGCAGTGCCAACGACGTTGAGCAGCGTGGACAGGACCACTGGAGAGGTGTGTGCGTCTCTTGCCAATCTCCACGCTCACGGCCTCGATGAGTTGAAAAGCTTGTTCAATAGGTACGGCCGCGCGTGCATGTCCGACGGCGACGGCGCCATTGCACGAGCGGAGCGGTCACTTGGCCCCGTGACAGAGGGCTCTCACAGGACATGCAGGCTGCATATGGCCCAAGGCGTCCAGGAGAGAAGTGTTGGCACAATATTCGACGGCGTCCTGGTTTCACAATGCCATTTGGCAAAGGTGTTTGAGGCTCCTGGGAGCAAGAGTGATTTCAAAATAATACTACGTCGGGTCATCCCGGGCAGTTTCAGGTTTAAATGCGGCGTGGCACCTCTTGACGCACACCTTCATCGCCAAGCTGTGGTAGACGTGTTCTTGCCTGTATCCACCGCAAACATTGCTCTGCAGAGAGCGCGCACGGTGGCTCTCAAAGTTGCAAATGGGGACTGGAGGAGACCAGGCGTGTTCGAGGTGTACACGTCGGATTTCAATTCTTCTGAGGCCGAGCTTCGCTTCTGGGCAATCAAGCACTTCGCCAACGCAATCATGCAGCTTGGCGTCTTTGCCTTTCCACGGTCTCGGTGGACGAAGGCCCGAGAATCAATCGGAGTGATGGGCTTCCTGATGCAGGTGCGCGGGCTATGGCAGCGAGCCTTCATCGTTTACGCTGAGGAACGTGTTGCGCTCGAAGCCCATCCTCGTGCCGACGACCACCGCGCGATCTTGGATGTTCTGGGGCGCGTGGCGGATGCGGATGCTCCAAGTGGCTCGTCGGGTGCGCCCGCAAAGTTTTCGGAGGGGCCGAATCGGGAGCTCGCGCAACCGCCAGATAAGTTTTCTGGGGTGGGCAACGGCTACGGGGGGTACCTCTGGCGGGGTTGAAATACATATGTTTAAGAAACACTGGCCCCCCCTCCCGTTTTAAACCGGCCACGGGGCGTCGAATGGGGGCCCCGAGCAGGGTGGAAAAAAAGGTGGTGGTTGCGTTGGCTTACCGCTCGTGTCCATCGAGAAGGCTGGCGCTGACGCTGCGGCATTCGATCGCAAGGCTATGGCATATCACTTGAAGGAGGGTTGGAGAGCATGCAGTGACAAGTCACTCCCGCAGAATATGCTTCTCCTATCGGTGTTTATAGATCCCCAGCAAACGCATATGTATCGCATCCTGGACAAGACGAGTACGGATGCTCAGGAGACGCAGTGCGTCAGGGCGGCGGTTTCGGTTTCTTCAAGTTCCAGTGTCACTGGTATCACTAATATCCTCGCATCGCCGCGCCTTCAGTCGATGGTGAATGGTGAGCTCGAGGATGCGTTTTTGAAGAGCGTGAGCCACTTGTTGTCGAGCACGGGCGTGGGTCAGTGGTCAGCACTCCCACCTGGGTCCATCCCGCGTGGGGCGAACCTATCAGCTTTCAAAGTGATTGCGGCCATCGGTGCAGTTGTAGTGGAAGATATACTTTCGATGATTTTAACACACCCTATGCGCACTTATTGGCTTGCTTTCGAAAGCATCCGGAATGTGGACCACGCCTACATGGGCAAACCATTGAAGGCCACGTCGAGATGCATGCTGGACTCCTGGACGATTGGGTTACTCGAGACGTACGGCGACGACGTCGAGGCCGAGGCCGATACAGACAACTCGAGGCGTGAGAACATGCGCGCCTGGGTCCGAAGGTGCATCATTCGAGGTACTGAGCAGACGTGCCCCGCCCACATGGAGTTCATCAGCAGCCAACGCGTTCTCCGTAATGCACGGCGGTGGCACAAGATCGTTGATGGTTTTCGTTTTCCACTCGCAGCGTCGAGGAGAAGCCCGACGCCGATGCCGACTCACGCGTGCATCCCGACGATGAGCCCGGAGAATCTGATCCCGTGCCTAAGAAAAGTGGTGGCGCTTGTCGCGCGTACTTCAGCGAGCAGATCGCTCAGAGAGGTCAGGTCGGGTTCAGTGTGCTGCGCAGCGGGTGCAGGGACTTGAGTCCAGAGTCGTTGGCGCGCTACGCTGAAAGAGGTAAAGAGGCGACGATCGCGGCGAAGTGCGGGAATCGGAACCCTTCGGCATGGGCGCCTGGAAGGCGAACAAGATGATGCGCCGTGCCGATGCGTCGGGCGGCCTTGTACGCAGGAGGGGGATTGTTCGGTAGGGGCTTGCGCTCGACGAATGTGCGCGTGGTAACGCAGATGCAGTCGTGGCCCTGCAGGCGCGCTTGGACCAGGAGAAGGGGATGTCGGAATCGCTGGCGCTGCTAACCAGCTCAAGTTCCAACGAGCGCCTGGACAGCGTGGCTCGCGCATCCGAGTGCCGATGCCGACCCCGGAAGTTCGAGGATGCCGTTGGGGCCAAGCTCAAGTCTGATGTGGAGCGTGCTCGTTCTGTGGGTGGGCTTGCACACCAATGCTTTCGATGTGTCCCTGGGCCCTGGATGGTTGGCAGAATGTTGTGCAGCAGCTCCGAGACTTTCCCGCTGGCCCGCGCAGTATCGTCTGTGAGAAGTTCGCATCGCCACTACAAGGTATTGAAGGCCGCAGCTCTGACGGACTGGGGCGTGCGGCACCGCCTCATCTGACATGCCGTTTGCGATGTGTTGCCCGAAAGGCCACCGCCCCGAAACTATTGTCTCGAGGCGGGGATGTGCGTTTGCCAGGGGCCTGGCGCAACGGCAGCCTTGCACGTCCAGCAGTGGGAGTGCGTTGTCAAGAACGTGTTCCCTGTTGGAGCCCAGCGACAGCACCTTCAAACAGCGTCCTTTTGTCAAGTCCTCATCGGTGAGAGCCCGTTGCAGATGCAGCGCGGACCTGACGAAGCAGCGCATCCTGACGGTGAAGATCCAGATCTAACCCGCATCGGGCTCTGGAGTTGCATCGCTCGGCATGGTCTGAACCCGTGGAAGGCCGTGCTGATGCCCGCAGACACGGGCAATTCATCGGGCGACGAGGTGATCCACATCACCATGCAGGCGAAGTGGGAGAGGCGGCATTTCTATTTCAGGGATCTGCTTCGCGATTTCGGCGAGGACACATTCTGGAGCGTTCGGCTCTACGAGTTCGTCGGCGGGGCAGACCGCGTGGCCGCTATTCATCCCGCCAAGCAAATGGCGCGACGATTCGGTGGCCATGGCCCTATTCGGTATTGGAGTGGCCGAGATGACCTCTCCAAGCTCAGCGCCTTCCTCCGTCGGCGGCAAAAGAAACGAAACGCGTATTCAGACGGCAGGGGGCGAGTTGGCGACGACGGAGACGGCGGAGATAGTGGTGGCGACGGCAACGACGAGGGAGAGGAGGGTGGTGAACCCGAACGTGCTAGTCATGAGGAACTGGAGCCGCCCACCGACCCCGAGTCCGACGATGACCGCGGAGGCGGCGGAGGCGGCGACAGCCAGTGCGTGCCAGCTCCCAGCATTCACCCCGAATCATGCATATATGATCTCCTCTGGTATAGCGGTAGCGGCAGTTGCGTGGAGGGCGGAGGTGGGGGTCATGGAGGTTCTGCAGGTGTCGATGTTGACGTGGAGTCATCTTCTAGCGACGGCGACCCCGACCGCATGTCGGACGAGAAGGCTTCCGAAGGTATTGGCGGCCCTGTGCCTGGTGGAGGGGCAGGCGGCGGCATTCAGGGGTCAGGTGGAGGCGGGGTCGGAGGAGGTGATGGAGTGCAAGGCGGAGGGGTAGTATCAGGAGTGGGCGGTGGAGGTGTCGCCCATGCGCCAGCAGAGGTGTTTGCACATGTCCCTGGTGGTAAGATAACATGGTATCGGAAAAGGTGTCAGCTTTGTTGCAACGTGCGAAGGTAATGGGCACGCTAGGTGCAGCCGTGAAAGAATGGCGTATCCTGGCAGGCGCCCTGCACAGGGCCGACCTCTAGGATTCCTCGCAATGTGGCTCTCTCAGGGCCACAATCATACAACTAAGCGCTTGCATTGTGCAGGGCTGTATTTTTCTCACGCCGACCGCCGTGATGCTCGGGGGACTTTGACGGGAAATCCGGATCCCGCAATTCAGGCCCTCTTGGCCCGCGAGAGGCCCCCTCGCGATGGCGAGCAGTTGGGGCCTTTAGATCAGCCCTGATATAAATGAACTTCCTCCACAATCTCCCCTGGGCCCTCCACCCTTGTCCTGAACCGTCCTCCTAAATCATCCGTCTTCCAAGCGTGGGCGTGAAATTGTGCTGTTGCCGTCTCCGCCCCCTCCTTTTCAAAATGGGGCCCTCGGTTCAGCATTCTTATGTGTGTACCATAAGTTGAGACTTGTGCATTTGGCACGCGGATGGAGGGTGGTTCCTGCCCCGAAAACGGGCGTTCGCTTGAGACGTCCTCACGTGTCATTGCCAGTCACAAAATAGATGCGGCGCTTGCACGGACGGAGGGCGATTGTTTCGCAAAGTGGAGCTCCCTTATAGGATTGCCAATCTCGTACATGGGGCACCCGTCATTCGAGGGCGCGCTTCCAGCCGTGACGGGCAGACAGGTCAATGTATTTATGCATGGACTTCTGGGGATGGTCTTGGGGCGATAGCGCGAGTTGCAACGCGATGGATGCATGCTGCGTCCTGCGTGTTCTTCTGTCCTGTCCCGCTGCCACCCTCGCCCTCACCCGCAGCCGTTTTGGATCAAATTCTTGATCGCTCGGTGTTCTGTTTAGTGAATGTCGGATATGCCGGCAAAGGCGGCGCAGGCGCAGGACCGCTATGTTCCACGTTCGGTGTGCCAAAGGTTGGTGAACAAACACGGGGCTCAGCGCAACTTGACCATCGCGCTGAGGCGGCGGACGAAGATGTACGAGCGGACTCAAGCGGCTTCGCGACACCATGGGGCTCCAGCGCACTCGGATCAACAGGGCTCTCAACCAACCGTGGGCCGCTTACACTGACCACCCGTAAGCGCCGCCGCCTGTCCCGAGGCCGCCCCCAGCGCCCGTGCTGCACAGGCCGTCTGCGGCGGGCGCGGCTGCAGTTGCAGGCGGCTAGACTAGTCGATTGGCGCCACGCCCTCTGTTCATTGGTTATCAATTAGCAGTGCTAGGCCGATTGCTGCCACGGCCTCTGTTCATTGGTTATCAGCAGTGCAGTCTATTCGTTTCAGGGAGGCGCCCGTGTGCCGTGAGAATAACTAAGGCGATTGACTATGGTCACGCCTTCTGTTGTTGCTCCTGGCCATGCTCAGCCATTCATTTGCTCGCGCTGTTGGCCGTGCCATCCGCCGAAGGAGAACAATGGGGGCTTCCGTTACGGGAAGACCCCAAAGGGGCCCCAAGAGGCCCCCACGAAGTGCCCGAGAAGACCCCAAGGGGGCCTCAACGAGGCACTACGAGGCCAACAACAAAACCAGAACACGGCCATCAGAGGCCCCAAAGAGGCCCTGGAGGCCCCACGGCCCCAGGTAGCTCTAACGAGCCAGGATGGTACCAGGAGGCCCCCAAGAGACACCAAAGGGCACCCCACCAGCCCCAGGATGCATTCAAAACGTGCAACAGGTGGAGGAACAACGATCCCAATGGCCCCAACATGTGCACCCGAAAAACTGTTGGCGCCAACCCCAGGCACGGTGGCGGGGTGATCAAATGTAGCGCAACATACAACGTACTGTATATAAGTGGGCGAGCAGTGATGTATGACATAGTCATGGATCATCGCTCTTGGTATCTTCTATGGTAAGAATTACGATCGCATGCGCCCGTAATCATGTTAGCATATTTACATTGCGCTGACGCCCACAGGCAATCTGATATGGTATGACCGTATGGCTGTGATATGGGCTTTATATCTTCCAACTTCTTTCAATGTTTTGTGAACCATGTAACGATGACAGTTGCAAAGGGATGTGCGCACTTGCTGGGTGTGCGAAGTGCATTAGTATTTCTGTCGAATCGTGGGTCTGTTGTTGTCCTTCTGGCATACGGAGCGAATCTGAACTCCAAATGGGCCCCGCATTGCCCTTCTGGCAGACGGCTGAACTCTGAACCCATAGTGGGTCAGTTCTTGTCCTTCTGGCAGACTGTGCGCTCGTCTGAACCTCTAATGGGCCCCGCGGTGGTCTGTTTTTGTTGCCCGACGGCGCTGGTACGAATGAACCGATAATGGGCCCGTTGTTGCCACTTGGGCAGACGGCGCTAATCTGAACCCGCAGCGGGTCCGTTATTACTTTTCTGGCCACAGAAACGGTCGGACATATCAGTGAAATTTGAGTTCCACGTTGGAGACAGTCGGGTTTGTTTGGGCACCAGGAGCGGACGTTCTCTGCTGTATTTCCAGCCAAGATGGAGACGTCGAGATCGTATGGTGCCAGAACAAGTTTGCTTGCTCCCGATGTTGGCCTCTGGTGGCAAAGCGGTCTTCGGTTGTTTTCCGACGTGGTCCGCGCTTGTTCCTCGCGAGGTCATTTTTTGAAATGAATGAACAGGACTGGCTGGTCGCACATTCTAGAAGGGCGCTTGATTTTCGGCGGGCGAGAGCGCTACCGATGGCCCATGGCCCCACCAAGCTGCGGGCGTTTCATTCTCGGCGGCCGAGGGCGCATCCCATGGCGCCAGCAATGGTAGGCCGCCTTATTCTGATCGGCCGAGGGCGCAACCTATAGCGCAACCAATGTGGGGGCCGTTTCTTCTCAACGGCTGAACCCCATCGGAGGGCTCTTTCTTCTCGGCGCCGAGAGCGCCGCCTACGGCGCAACCAGTGGGAGGGCGTTGCAATCTCGGCGGCCGAGGGCGCAACCACTGGCGCAACCAACCAGCGGATGTTTCATTCGCCGCAGCCGGGGGCGCAACTTTTGGCGCACCCAATGGGAGGGCGTTGTGACCTCGGCGGCCGAGGGCGCAACGCATGCGCGCGGCGTGGCTACGCCCGACTTATATCGGCCGTCCGGGCTGGCCGTGGAGCTCAGGCGGCGAGCTGTCTGGGGATCCCGCTGAGGTTAAAGGGCATCTCAGACGCTGTCGGTCCTGTGGCGCAGAAGTTTCCGACTGTTGCCGCGCCTGGTGGGTGAGAACCTCTCGGGCGCCGTCCACATCTGATGACAGATTGCCATCGTTCCATCGCGACAGTGCCGAGCGCGCGTCGATTGCGCGCGCCGCGCGCCGTCTGCGTTCGTTCGCCTGGCTATGCGCGCCCTTCCCCCCCCCGCCCTCCGCCCCCCGCGCGCCCTCCCCCCTCGTGATATTCGACGTCGCGCGCGCCCGTCGCCGCCTCGCAGGCGCTGGCCTTGCCTCGCTGCTCCCGCGCCAGAAGGCGCGTTGCCGCGTTTCCTCGGCGTCGTCGCGGCGGCCGAGCCCGCCGCGATCTGCGCCGCGCGCGCGCCACTCCCCCCGCGCCAACCTCGAGTGCGCGCGACTTCCTGGACAGCTTCCGCGCGTCGCGCTCGCGCGTCGCGGGGCGGCGCCCGAGCCCCCCAACCGCTCGCTCTCGCATCGCGGTGCGGCGCGCGAACCCGTCGCTCCGACCTGTCCGCGGCGGCGGCGCCGCGGCGGCCCATCGCGGGGCGCCGCGCGCGTTCGGGCGGGGCGTCGGGAGAGGATGGAAGGGGCTGAACCAACGCCAAAGAAAGTGCCATGGGGGGCGGGGGATGGGGGGGCACAATAAAAGCAACATTAAAAACCGACAGGGGGGGCGGGGGGGGGGGGGGGGCGCGCAAACGCATTTAAAACCGACAGAGGGGGCGGGGGGGACAACTAGCAGAAAAGTTGCAATCGGAAGAGGGAGAGGGGGGGCAACGTTCAAAGGGGGCGAGGGCGACCCCTTCCCCCCCACCAGGATGGGCGAGCAAAATAAAAAGCAAACTTAAAGCCAAACCAGCTAAATCCAACCTAAATTGGAGCCGCAATAGCAACACAATAGCTAATCTTTACACCGCTGAATTGCAGCCGCATACATAACACCTATTTTGTTAGGGGGGTAGGAGGGGGGGGGCTATTTGAAACCTATTTCGAAAAGTCAGTCGAGGACCCCGGGCTATTTGGGGCCTATTTGGGAAAGTCAGTCGGGGGCGACGGGCCATTTGCAAACATATGTCGCGGGTCGGGGCGGGTGCGCGTGGATGGTGGTGGTGGTGGTGGTGCTGTGTGTGTGTGGGGTAGGGGGGAGGGGGGGGGGGGGGGCAGTTCGAAAGTGCTGCGAATGCCCTGCGGATCGGAACGGGGTCGAATTTGAAACCTAGATGTCGCCAATGTGGCGCTATATGGCGCCGATGTGGCTCCCATTTGAAACGTAGTTGAAACCTGCGTGAAATGTGTCTGGATCGAATTTGGGCAATTAGGAACATTTTTGGAATGCATTTGGCATGCGCTTGAAACCTAACCTGAAGTGAGCGAGGGTGAAGCAAATCATTGAATTTTGTCCATCTGCCCCTCCCTCAAAACCCGCCCTCGCCACCCGTCCGTTTCGTGGATCGCTGACGCCAGCGGCAACGGAACCGCGCATGAACTCGCGGCACGCCCGCGCATCGTGCGCGGCGCGCAAGACTCACGTTTTTTTTTTTTTTTTTTTTTTTGTTTCTCCTCTCTCTCTCTCTCTCCCCATCTCTCTCTCTCTCTCTTTCTCTCTCTCTCTCTCTCTTTCTCTCTCTCTCTCTCTCTCTCTCTTCATATATATATAATTATACATGTATTCATATATATATATATATGTATATTAATATATTTCCATATATATATATATATATATATACATATCTTCTCCGACG